GAACAAAGACGCTTCTGTAAGTAGTCTTAGCAGAAGCACTGGATGAGTTGGGCTATGCCTAAGCTGGAAAAAGGAAGTCCATAGGCTACTCTACTTTGGTCACACGCCTTGAAATTGGTAAATTTCCATACAAGTAGCAAGATATTGGGACACCCCACCTGCTGAGAGCACAATTGTACACCTACAAAAACTTGTATAATTCAGATTCAAGCAGGCATAAAACTTGCGCATATCATAAGATTCTTCTCAAAAGTGTAGGCATAATGGTTAATTAAGACTTACTGAAGATAAAGCAAGCACACCAGAATTATCTTACACTGAATGAAAGCTGTTTTGGTCTTTTCCTCCAGCATTTGTTTGCTTATTTGATGATGATCTGTTAAGAGTTAAAGTCAACGATCAATGCAAAATAATTAGTGAACGCCCATTCAATTGATAGTTAACTTTATTATAAGTTGAAGTTAAAAGATAAAAACAATAATAATACTAATACTTTGGGATCGAAGCTATATTTAAGGCTTGACCGGCTTACCATTATAGCCAAGCCATCAAAAACAATGTCACAAATCAAAGATGCCTTGATGTAGTCATGAGCTGACTTAAGCAAAATCAGTTTGGGTCTAGCTGCAGCAAGTAAAATTGAGCATCCCCAAGAACTCGCTGTATGATACAAATTTTTATAGAACATGAGTTAATTTTATCGTAAGACCTTGCTAACTTAGAATCCTATATGCTAGAAACGCAATGGCATAATAAGACTCATAAAAGATATAGAGAACATACCGGAGTAATATTCTGTTGCTCGGTGAAGCTACTGTCCACCCATTTCTCCTCTATTAATTGCCTATTGGATGAGTATCTCTTCTGTGCTTTAAGCCCAATGAACTAAAAGTATACCGATATACTATATGCACAGACAGGCATGCACAGGAATAATTGTAGCCAAATTATAATTTACTAAAAAGTGGGAATAGTCCTAACTGTCTTTAGTGTTTTGTGTTGTCCCACAAAAATTAAAACAAATAATGATACAGACACAGTATCATAACCATAAGCAGCAGTCCAGAAATGCAATGTCATAAATGAAACAAAAGCTTGAATGCAAAGTCCCCCCAAGAGAATCTCAAACAACCTCAGTTCTTCAGAAGTTTGAATGCAAAGGGCCAATAGTTCTGTGCCTGCAAGGCTGCCACCACAAAATGCATTTGAGTATTGTGTATTTGTTATGCAACACTCTGCTTCACGAGAACACATCAAAAACTTTTAAGAGGTGCTTAACCAACAAAAATCAATATAATTCATTTAAATTTTTATGGTGACATACCTATGTCAGGATCCCTCTTTTGAAGGACCAAGGGTTGTGATAATTTGAAACAGGACAGTTGTAGACAAACATACTGAAATCAAACCCACACCACTGCAGCTGTTCAGAGAAGATAACATATGATAATTAAACAGCTGTCTTAGGAACTGAAAATTTTAAAGTAACAGCACAGAAAAGCATATGCATTTAAAATCAATTTGAAGATCATAATTTTTCTATAAATGATCTAAGCTCAGAATCAGTCGTACTGAAATATGTTTACCTTCTTGGAAATGCAGTCAAACTTATGCCATTTTGCTCAAACTATGCCTTTCAGTTTATTGCTTGCAACTGTTAAGTGAGAGACCTTGAAGACAGTTTTGTACTCCACTCTACATCAATCAAGTCACTCCATTAAAATGGTTGGTTTTCACAGAATTAGAAATGACATATCGAGCTAGCTAATGCAAGGATGGTTCAGTATATTACCTGTCAAAGTTTTCTCTCATAGAGGAACAAAATGGGTGAGATTTCACAAGTTTTCCAATCTGGTCGATACCTTAGATGGAAGATAAAAGTCCATAAGCTATGCTACACCTGGCATTCTCCTGAACAAATTGGTTGGTTTTCAAAGAAGCAGCAGATTAATTGAGGAAGAAGATACTCTTGAACATCCCTTCCAATTGAGAGCAAAAACTGAACACCTTTTGAAAATACAGTGTACTCTGTGCAATCCAAATTGTGAAGAAGAGAAGAGTTCAATATATTATATTCAATATATAGGAAAGGAACAATTCTGTGATATCTAACATTGTTATGAACTGATCAAATGAAGAAAGGAATGCATGAAGTTTGTAATATGGTTGCACTTTAAAAGAACCAAATATATCCAACAGATTGCTTACCTGAATTCATGTATATTAACAAAGGGCTTTCACAATCTACCTGCTGAAAGACAAAAAAATATAATGAAAAGCTCTAACGTTGAGAACTTAGTGGCAGTTCACAATGTTTGAAGAATTTTTAGTTTATGAATAGAAATCTTAAAATTTTTCTTTTTCA